GAGTTGTTCCTCAAGGCCCTAGCTTAAGCTTCCCACATCACTTCTACTAACTACAGAGGGGACACCCATCTTAACAGGAGTCTTTCAACCATAAACTTTAATTGCACTTTAAACAGCCTCAAAATGGAATGTTTCCTTAATTAAGATACTGCTTTCTTCATCATAATTGAAATACATCAAAAAGTACCTTGTTAAGGCCCGAGATGTATTACATAGCCATTCTGTAGTGAAGCTGCAGGGCTTTGCTAATTGGAAAACAACAGATCAAATTTGAGAGGAAGTTATGGCAGGCAGATTCCAGTGATGAAGCAGTTTATTTAAATCAAACAGTCAAGACAATTTGGAAAAGATGCCTAATCATCTTATTTGGTTAAACTGCAGTACAAGATAAAATTATAAATTATCAATGTATCATTGACCTTAAAAGTATACAGATCTATATTAGTATATAAAGAAAAAATTAATCCTTTAAATTTAATATTCCAAGTATAAGTACCTTTCAAGGAATCTATAAGGTTCTTGGACTAAAAGGATAGGCATTGAGATGCACATCAATGTTTAGCATTGAATTTTATATAAGGTACTATTTTAATATGTATTAAATAGTATTTTTAATATAGGCCCAAATTATAATTTGTTTTGTATTTTAGATTTCCAAATAGGAGTTGTCTTATTTTCATTGATTAAAATTTATATTCTAATATCCAATTACACTGATATTCAGGATAAGGTGGTAGTGCTCACTTCACATTTAGCAGAACAAACTTTCCCCTCTGTTCTTTCACACTCTGAAACTGCTCCTTACAAATTTTCCTTTCAAATGTTCCACTTCAGACATTTGTGTTAACCCAGACATTTTCATACTTTACAGGAAACATCTCTTACTTGTGCTACCAAACCTATTCTTGCTCTCTATACCCTCTCAAACTCAATGCTTTCCTTTTATTCATTGCCACAAAAGAAGCAGAAGTACCCTTCCCTTCAGAAAACCATTTCATCCTTACATCCCTCGCCACCTCCGTAAATCCTGATTCATACAGAGACATTTTTCTTTTCGAGAGTTCACACCTACTGCCATAACTACAGGCCACAAAAACAAAAAGACCAAAGAAGGATCAGAAATGAAGGAACAAAATACCCATCCAACAAAGACAAACTCAGGCCTATAATTACCCCAAACCCAGACACCTAGACACCAATGTGAGAAGACAATCAAAAACAGGCAGGGTAATAATTCACCCCCAAATCCCAGGTATTCCACTACAATAAGCCTTGACTATTCCACAAAACTAAAGCACAAGAATCTTGCCTTTAAGATCAACTTTATGAAGATAATAGAGATTCTTAAATAGGAGAATAAAATCCTTAAAAAAATAGAAGGGAAAAAAAGAAAACACTAGAATGAAAATCAATAAAATTGATGATATGCAAGATATTCGTCAGTATTGCTCTCGGATAGGGTCATTTCAGGTTCCCAATCCTCAGCTACCCAAGGAACTAACTGGGAAGCTCATGTTGGGCACTTGGGAGCCCCTCTAGGGTCAAATCTCTTGCTCACCCTAAAGTGGTTCCCTTAACTAAGAATTGTGGTTCCGTGCTCCCCTATCCACCTTTCCTTTATCCCAATTCTCCTGATTCCCCAAATCCCCCCTCCTTCCCTTCTACCTTTTCTCTCCCCATCTCCCCTTACCCCCATCCCACCCCACCCCCAAGATCCTAATTTTCTCCCCGGCAATTGGGTCTACTTCCCTTAGCCAAGAGGATAACTATATGTTTTTCCTTGGGTTCACCTTCTTACTTAGCTTCTTTAGGTTCACCTATTGTAGACTCCGTGGCCCTAATTTATGGCTAGAAACCAATTATGAGCGAGTACATCCCATGTTCATCTTTTTGGGTCTGGGACACCTCACTCAGGATAGTGTTTTCTATTTCCATCCATTTGCCTGCAAAATTCGAGAAGTCATTGTTTTTTACCGCAGCGTAGTACTCTAGCGTGTATATATTCCATACTTTCTTCATCCATTCTTCCATTGAAGGGCATCTAGGTTGTTTCCAGGTTCTGGCTATTACAAATAATACTGCTATGAACATAGTTGAACAAATGCTTTTGTCATATGATAGAGCATCTCTTGGGTATATTCCCAGGAGTGGTATTGCTGGGTCCAGGGGTAAGTTGATCCCGAATTTCCTGAGAAACCGAAACACTGACTTCCACAGTGGTTGCACAAGATGGCATTCCCACCAGCAATGGATGAGGGTACCCGTTCCTCCACAGCCTCTCCAGCAAAGGTTATCCTTGGTGGATGGAGACAGAGACAGAGACCCACACTGGAGCACTGGACTGAGCTCCCAAGGTCCCAATGAGGAGCAGAAGGAGGGAGAACATGAGCAAAGAAGTCGGGACCACGAGGCGTGCACCCACCCACTGAGACAGTGGAGCTGATCTACTGGGAGCTCACCAAGGCCAGCTGGACTGTGACCGAAAAAGCATGGGATAAAACCGGACTCTCTGAACATGGCGAACAATGAGGGCTGATGAGACGCCAAGGACAATGGCACGGGGTTTTGATCCTACTTAATGTGCTGGCTTTGTGGAAGACTAGCCAGTTTGGATGTTCACCTTCCTAGATATGGACGGAGGGGGGAGGACCTAGGACTTACCACAGGGCAGGGAACCTGGACTGCTCTGTGGACTGGAGAGGGAGGGGGAGAGGAGTGGGGGGAGGGGTAGAAGGGTGGAAGGAGGGGGAGAAGGGTGGGAGGAGGGGGAGGGAAATGGGAGGCTGGGAGGAGGTGGAAACTTGTTTTTTGTTTATGTTTTTTTTTCTTCTTTTCTTAATAAAAAAATTATTAAAAAAAAGAAAAGAAAATCAATAAAATTGAAAAGAATGAATAAAACTTTTCAAGACCTTAAAATAAAAATAGAATCAATAAAGAAAACAGAGACTTAGGGAATTCTGGAAATGGAAAATCTAGGTAAGAGAACAGGAATTTTCAAACATTACCAACAGAATACAAGTTGGAAGAAGAAATCACAGATGATGAAGATATGATAGAAGTCAAGTCAAAGAAAATGTTAAATCTAAAAAAATTCTCACACAAAAAATCCAGGAAACCTGGGATACCATAAAAAGGCCAAATCTAAGAGTGATATGAATAGAAGGAGAATGCCAATTCAAAGGCCCAGAAAATATTTTTAAAATATTTTAAAAGAAAAATTTTCTAACCTAAAGAAAGACATGACTATAAAATCATACAGTACACCAAATAAATGTGGCCAGAAAGGAACGTCTCCTTGTCACATGGCAAATAATAATCAAAACACTAAACATGCATAACACTGAAAGAATACTAAAAGTGGCAATGGAACATATAAAGGCAGACCTATTATAACTACATCCTACTTCTCAATGGAGACTTTAAAAACCGGAAAGTCTTCCACAGATATCCTGTAAACTCTAAGAGACCACAGATGCCATCCCAGACTACTATTCCCAGCAAAACTTTCAATCACCATAAATGAAGAAAACAATATATTCCATGACAAAGTAAAATTTACACAATAACAAATCTACAAATAAAATCCTATAAAAGGTACTAGAAGAGAAAAATCAAACCTAAAGAAGTAAAGTACACACATCACCAATAAAAATAGAGGAAATAATCTTATACCAGCAAAACAAAAAGAAGAAAAACATACACACACACACGTACACACACACACACTACTAGCAACAGCAATAACAAAAATCAAATAACAGTAATTAGCAAGCATTTGTCATTAATATTCTTCAAATTTAATGGACTCAAATTCCCCATAATGAAACATATGCTAACAGAATGGATGTGAAAACAGTATCTATACTTCTGCTGCATACAAGAAACACACCTCAACTTCAAAAAGTAGACATATCAGAGAAAATTGTTGGGGAAAGATTTTCCAAGCAAATGAACTCAAGAAGAAAGTTGGTGTAGCTATTTTAATGTCTAATAATATAGACTTCCAAACAAAATTAATAAAAAAGATAGAGAAGGATACTTCATATTCATCAAAGGAAAAATCATCAACCATGATAAAGTAGGCTTCATCCTAGAGATTCAGGGGTGGTTCAACATATGAAAATCTGTCAATGAAATCCACCATATAAATGAATTGAGAAAAAAAAAGTGGTTCTTTCATTAGATGAAGAAAAAGCCTTTGATGAAATCTAACACCCCTTCATGTAAAAGTGTTAGAAAGATTATGGATACAAGGGACATACCTAAACACAATAAAGGTAATTTTAATAACATCCAATAGCCAACTTAAAATAAAATGGGAAGAAACTGAAAGCAAGTCCCCCAAGACCAGAAACAAGACAATGCTTTCCACTCTCTCCGCACCTATTCAATATAGTACTTAAAGTTCTAGCTAGAGCAATATGATTACTAAAGGAGATCAAGGGGAAACAAATTAGAAATGAAGAAGTCAAAGTATTTCTATTCACAGATTATGTGATAATTAATATACACAAGCAAGTCCAAAAATTCTACCAAAGAATGCGCCTACAGTTGCCACTTGCCTTCCCCAAACCACCATTATAATGAAGTTTGGTTACATTAACTATAGCAGGATGTATTACTGACATTGCCAAAGATATGTATTATGGACTCCCTGCTCTCCAGGCCTGAGAATAAAAGAGTCATGTTTGAACTCAGGGACATTTCCTCCACTCCTCTGAAACATGCCACTTAAAGTTCAACAGAATCAGAAAGCTAACAGCAATAGAAGGTCTCATCCTCTGCCTTTTTTTTTAAAAAAAAAAAGAAGAAATACTGTTAGTAAATTAATGAGTTGCTAATTAAGAGTAAGCAACCGTTCGCTGTTGCTTCTCTATCCTGCTTTACCCGGGTTGCCTGCGTTCCTCGCTGGTCAGTTAGAAACACATTTGTTCTCTTTACCACTCTGGTCCCTACCTGCTCATCCTGAAAGCCTTGATTCTTTTCTTCCCTCTGCTCAGCATCCTCCGTGGACCCACAGAGAAATGATAAAGATGACTCTCCAGAGATGCCCCACAGTCGGCCAGGCCCAATCCCAGGTAACTTGCCTTTGGCCTAAACGGACATCCTTTTTGGGGCATTTACACCACCCATTCTCCTCCTTGACATCCAGGCCTCGTAACCCACGATCTTCCTTCCTCCTCCAGTGAACAAAGGCAACTTAACATCCAAGGTTAAGGAGGAAGAAGCCTCAGGAGGGCAGCCTCTCTGTTCCCCTGGTGCTGTGCAAGGTAACACTGGTTAAGGCTGATTTAACTCTTAGTAGTCTTGATTGGGATAGCTTAAACTTACCTCTGATTGGGTGCTTATGGAGTCAGGAACCCTGAGCTCCTGAAAGGAGAGAGAGAGTTGTGGGGAAGGCAAGGGCGAAGGACCGGGAAGGTAGACTTGTAGGAACCGATCACAAAGATCAGAAAGCCCACTCACGCCTGCCAGACTCTAAAATGTTGCTCAAGAATCGGTGTTAAAATGTTAAGGTATTAACTAACAGAGAGAATTCCTCAGCCACAAAGGACTGTGGTAGACTCCAGGAGAGAAGAGGACAAGGCAGGGCTGGACTGTGTGACCTTGCTTCTGTGACAAAGTCACTGCAATAAGTAAGACTCAAAATGACCCCAACAAAATGCCACACAGACAGACAGCAGAAACCCTGTGTGTCCCCAGTGATGGGTGATGCAATTGGTATTGATAACTTTGACATCACCCTGACTGTGGGAGTAGACCCTCGGTGCTGGTTAATTCTTTATCGTATAGAGTGCTAAGAATGCTTGTTATTAAATGATATGAAAAGAAAAATTACTTTGAAAGTAGTAATTCTATAGTAAACTGTAAACAGTGTACAGTGTGCCTCAGGTATCTGGCCAGAAGTTAAGACAATTTTCATTGTGTTGTGTAAGCAGCAGACAGCCTTAAGGAGGACTTTTATCTGTTACAGCTTCAAGCCCCCTTGTTTTTCTTATTGCATCAAAGTTAGCAGAATTTCAAAATGTATTTGCTGTTAACAGATGCATAGGTAGCAACAGCAAGGTGGTCAGAGCTGGAAAAGTGGCTCAGTGGCAAAGATCACGGGCTGCTCTTCCAGAGGACCTGAGTTCAATTCCCAGCACCTACATGGAAGCTCATAACCATCTGTAACTCCAGCCCTGAAGGATATGGTGCCCTATTCTGGCCTTTGTGGCCACTAGGCACACATGTGGTACCCAGACACACATGCAGGCAAAACACTCAGGTACAAAAAGTTTTAGAAAGAGTAACAAGGTCAGATGAAGGCAGAGCCCTGCTGCCTGGCAGATCCCTGGCTTCACTCCCTTTCGGTAGAGTTCTTCTACTGTCTTTCTTCACACACTCTCTTCAGTACACTCTGAGCTCTGAGGTGGGTTCTGTTTTCTTTTGCTAGTGGCAAAAAATGATTCTCCAGCACCGAATGACCTGGAAATGGCCCAGGAAGCACCCAGCGCTCCTGCAAAGCAGAAAAAGGATTCTCCAGTTCTGAATGACCTGGAAATGGCCCAGGAAGCACCCAGCTCTCCTGCAAAGCAGAAAAATGATTTGCCAGCTCCGAATGACCTGGAAATGGCCCAGGAAGCAACCAGCACTCCTGCAAAGCAGAAAGGGGATTCTCCAGCACCAGATGACCTGGAAATGGCCCAGGAAGCAACCAGCACTTCTGCAAAGAAAAAAGGTATAGCCATTCTTTCCCTCAGGATGCTTCCTGCTTCTCCAGCTCTGTCGCATCCCAGCATCTACAATGCCACCAGTTCTACAATCACAGCATTTCTGCAGTCTCTCTTCCTTCCACCTTCTCAAAGGCCTCGTGAAAATGATAGGTAACAAGAAGGCACTTAGATGTAGTGAATTAAACGTCCTCAGAGTCACAGACTCCTATCCCACAATTGCTGAGCGTGTCTGTTCCACTAACTTCGTTAACTATAGTTGGTCAGAACACTGCTTCCTCGTGAGTCATGTTCAGGCAGCTTCTGCCATCCTTCACTCTTACACCTCATGGTGGCAAGCAGCTTGGATGGCCACCTGGCTACCTACATTCTATCTCACTCTTTGATTTCCTGCTTCTTTCTTAAGGTGTCACCATTCAGCTAAAATATGTGTTGTTATTGGCCCAGCAAGATGGCTCATTGGTTAGAGGTGGCTGGTACCAGGTCTGATGATCTGAATTTGATCCCTGAAATCTATAAGGCAGAGGAACAGAACCTACTCATTCAAGTTGTCTCCTGCCTGTCACATGGGTACCACGGTACATGTGTCCAACACCCCCACAACCAAAAAATATAATAACAGTAATAATAACAGTAATGATAGTAGTAAACTCTGTGACTACTCTGGTACTGTCCTCCAATGGCTTCCCCATTGGGGTTCCTGGAGCTTCTTAAGCCTAATTTTCTCCCACTTCAGTTTCTGCCATGGTCCTGGATGCCTTCAAGGCATCACGGGTAGCAGGCTGGTCCTGGATGCTTTCAGGGAGTCGCAGATAGCAGGCAACCCACCCAGTACTCCAGCTGCTCCAGTCTTTATCTCCTCGCATCTGGCTACTCTTTCCTTCACAAATTCTTGGTTTCTCGTGTCCAGAAACCATCCATAGGCCCTACCATTATTCAAACCTAGCTTAATTTCCCAATAACTAATACAAGAATTTTTACTTTAACACTTGTTTTAAAAAGGGGGGGGCTACTGCTGTGGGACAATAGTCTGTACCCTGTCACTTGTATTTTAAATAAATGCTGATTGGTCAGTAGCCAGGTAGGAAGTACAGGCATGGCAATGAGAATTATGGGAAGAGGAAAGTTTCAGTCTGCAGTCATCACCCAGATGCAGAGGACACAAGATGTGACTGCCTCGCCAAAAAAGGTACCAAGCCATGTGGCTAGCACAGACAAGAATGGGTTCTGATTGATTTCAGTTTGAAGTCAACTTTGTTAGAAATTAGTATGGCCACACCTGCTTGTTTCTTAGATCCATTTGCTTGATAAGCCTTTTCCCAGCCCTTTACTCTGAGTAGGTGCCTGTCTTTGTGGTTGAGGTGTGTTTCTTGTAAACAGCAGAATGTTGGATCCTGTTTTCGTATCCAATCTCTTAGCCTGTGCCTTTTTATAGGTGAGTTGAGCCCATTGACATTAAGTGATATTAATGACTAGTGGTTGTTAACTCCGGTCACTTTTTTTAGTAGTAGGGTTTGTGTGTTTCCCTTCTTTGAGTTGCGCTGGTGAAGGGTCTCTAGATGTCTGAGTTATTGTGGTCATTGTTGGACTCCTTGGTTAGTGATTTTCCTTCTATTATTTTCTGTAAGGCTGGATTTGTGGCTACGTATTGTTTAAATTTGTTTTTATCCTGGAAAATTTTGTTTTCTCCATTTATAGTGAATGAAAGCTTGGCTGGGTATAGTAGTCTGGGTTTGCATCCATGGTCTCTTAGTTTTTGCAGTACATCTATTGAGGACCTTCTGGCTTTCATGGTTTCCATAGAGAAGTCAGGTAGGTGTAAGTCTGATAGATTTACCTTTATAAGTAACTTGTCCTTTTTCCTTTGCGGCTCTTACTATTCTTTCTTTATTTTGTATGCTTTGTGGTTTTATTATTATATGGCGAGGGGATTTTTTTTTTGATCCAGCCTATTCGGTGTTCTTTATGCTTCTTGAACCTTCATAGGTACATCTTTCTTCAGGTTGGGAAAGTTTTCTTCTATAATTTTATTAAGTATATTTTCTGGACCGTTGAACTGCACTTCTTCTCCTTCTTCTACTCCAATTATTCTTAAGTTTGGTCTTTTTATTGTGTCCCATATTTCCTGAATGTTTTGTGATGAGAGTTTGTTAGACTTGCTGTTTTCTTTGATCAGTGCATTTATTTTCTCTATATTATCTTCAGAATCTGAGATTCTTTCTTCTATCTCTTGTATTCTGCTGGTTATGCTTGTTTCTGTAGTCTCTATTCGTTTACCTAGATTTTCCATGTCTAGCCAGCCCTCTGTTTGTGTTTTCTTCTTTGCCTCCATTTCAGTTTTCAAGTCTTGAACTGTTTCCATTATCTGCTTGATTGTTTTTCCTTGGTTTCCTAGGGTATCATTCACTGATTTAATCAATTCCTCAAACTTTCTGTTATACTTCTCATCTATTTCTATAAGGGCATTTTTTATATGCTGTTTAAGGGCCTCTATCACTTTTATAAAGTCAGTTTTTTCTACTTCTTCTTGATTAAGGTGTTCATGTCCTCCTGTTGTGAGGTCGCTGGGTTCTGGTGGTTTCATGTTGTTTTTCAGCTTGTTGGGTGAATTCTTGCATTGGTGCCTGCCCATCTCTTCCTCCGAATGCTCCCCTATGAATCTTCTTTTACAGGATCAGGTCTTCTTGCCCACTGATGTACCTTCCCAGTGATGTCACTCCCCAGTGATGGTTCTCCTGGTGTCCAGATTGGATCTCCGTGCTGCTTGGGTAGCTCGCAAACCAAGGGCCCACCCTGCTTGCAGCAGGCAGTCTATGGAGACAAAGGAACTACCGCCCTCCCTTTTGCCCTCCCGTTTCGGGTTTGGTCCCAGCGCCCGAGCAGGCTGAGCTGGGAGGTGCTATGCCGCCAAAGAGGGGAGGGAGGGAGAGAGGGAGACGGGGGGTAGGGGGTACTGGATGTAAGCTGGGTGGGATAGGAAGAGAGAGGAGGTATCGGGCAGTATAGCCCCTGCAGGATCGGTTATTTAGAATTTTAATGTCTAGTATCTTGAGTTCCTTATATATTTTGGAGATCAGACCATTGTTTGATGTGGGGTTGGTGAAGATCTTCTCCCATTCAGTAGGTTGCCTTTTGTCTTAATGACTGTGTCCTTTGCTTTACAATTTCAGGAGGTCCCATTTATTCATTATTGCTCTGATTGTCTGTGTTACTGGGGTTATATATAGGAAGTGGTCTCCCATGCCCATGTATTGCAAGCTACTTCCCACTTTCTCTTCTATCAGGTTCAGTGTGTTCGGGCTGATATTGAGGTCTTTAATCCATTTGGACTTGAGTTTTGTGCATAGTAATAGATATGGATCTATTTTCATTCTTCTACAGGTTGACATCCAGTTATGCCAGCACCATTTGTTAGAGATGCTTTATTTCTTCCATTGTATAATTTTAGCTTCTTTGTCAAAAATCAGGTGTTCATAGTTTTGTGGATTAATATCTGGGTCTACAATTCGATTCTGTTGGTCAACATCTTTGTTTTTATGCCAATACCAAGCTGTTTTCATTACTGTGGCTCTGTAATAGAGTTTGATGTCAGGGATGGTAATGCCTTCGGAAGTTCCCTCATTGTATAAGGTTGTTTTGGCAATCCTGGGTTTTTTATTTTTCCATATAAAGTTGATTATTGTTCTCTCAAGGTCTCGGAAGAATTTTCTTGGGATTTTGATGGGGATTGCATTGAATCTATAGATTGCCTTTGTTGAATTGCCATTTTTACTATGTTGATCCTCCCAATCCAAGAGCATGGGAGGTCCTTCCATTTCCTGGTATCCTCTTCAATTTCTTTCTTCAAAGACTTAAAGTTCTTGTCAAATAGATATTTCACTTCCTTGGTTAGTGTTACCCCAAGATACCTTACGCTATTTATGGATATCATAAAAGGTGATGCTTCTCTGATTTCCCTCTCTGCTTCTTTATCCTTTGTGTATAAAAGAACTACTGATTTCTTTGAGTTGATTTTCTATCCTGCCACATCACTGAAGGTATTTATCAGCTGTAGGAGCTCTGTGGTAGAATTTTTTGGGTCGCTTATGTACACTATCTTATCAGCTACAAACAATGAAAGTTTGACTTCTTCCTTTCCAATTTGAATCCCCTTGGTCTCCATATGTTATCTTATTGCTATTGCTAGAACTTCAAGCACTATGTTGAAGAGATATGGAAAGAGTGGACAGCCTTGTCTTGTTCCTGATTTTAGTGGAATGACTTTGCGTTTCTCTCCATTTAATTTTATGTTAGCTTTCAGCTTGCTGTATATTACTTATTATATTGAGATATGATCCTTGTATCCCAAATCTTTCCAAGACCTTTATCATAAAGGGGGGTTGAATTTTGTCAAATGCTTTCTCAGCATCTAATGAAAGGATCGTATGTTTTTTTTCTTTCTGTTTATATATATGATGGATTACATTGATAGATTTTCGTATGTTGAACCTGCCCTGCATCTCTGGGATGAAGCTAACTTGATTATAATGGATGTTTTTTTAAGTGTTCTTGGATGTGGTTTACCAGTATTTTATTGAGAATTTTGCATTGATGTTCATGAGTGAGATTTATCTATAATTCTCTTTCTTGGTTGAGTCTTTGTGTGATTTTGATAGCAGGGTAACTGTAGCTTCATAAAAAGAGTTTGGGAATGACTCCTCTGTTTCTACTATGTGGAACAAATTAAGGAGTATAGGTATTAGCTCTTCTTGGATGTTCTGGTAGAATTCTCCATTAAAACCATCTGGTCTTGGGCTTTTCTTTGTTGGGAGGTTTTTGATGACAGCTTCTATTTCCTCACGACTTATAGGTTTATTTAATTTGTTCACCTGGTCTTGATTTAATTTTAATATATGGTATTTATCTTTAAAAAAGTCCATTTCTTTTACATTTTCCAATTTTGTAGCATACAGGCTTTTTTAGTAAGACCTAATGATTCTCTGAATTTCCTCAGTATCTGTTGTTATATCCCCTTTTCATTTCTGATCTTTTTAATTGAGTGTTCTCTCTCACCTTTTGATTAGTTTGGATAGGGGTTTGTCAATCTTGTTAATTTTCTCAAAAAACCAGCTCTTTGTTTCATTGATTCTTTGGATTGTTTTCTGAGTTTCTATTTTGTTGATTTCAGCCCTCAGTTTGATTATTTCCAGTCAGTCTTCTACTCCTCCTGGGTGAGTCTGCTTCTTTTTTTTTTCTAGAGCTTTCAGGTGTGCTGTTAAGTCTCTAATGTGAGCTTTCTCCATTTTCTTTATGTGGGCACTTAGTACAATGAACTTTCCTCTTAGCACTGCTTTCATGGTGTTTGGGTATGTTGTGTCATTGAATCCAAGAAAGACTTTAATTTCTTTTTTATTTCTTCCCTGACCCAGGGGTGGTTCAGTAGTTGACTGTTCAGTTTCCATGAGTTTGTCGGCTTTTTGGGGGTGGGATTGTTTTTAAATTCTAACTTTACTCCATGGTGACCCAATAAGACACAGGTGGTTACTCTAGTTTTTTGTATCTGTGGAAGTTTGCTTTGTTATTGGGTATATGATCAGTTTTTACAAAGGTCCCATGAGGTGCTGAGGAGAAGGTATATTCTTTCCTGTTTAGGTGGAATGTTCTATAGATGTCTGTTAAGTTCATTTGATTCATTACATTTGTTAGTTCTCTTATTTCTCTGTTAAGTTTCTGTCTGGTTGACCTGTCCTTTGGTGAGAGAGGAGTGTCGAAATCTCCTACTATTAGTGTATGGGGTTTGATGTGTGATTTGAGTTCTAGTAATGTTTCTTTCTTTT